CAAGACAAGCCATTTCAGACCTCCCCCGTGGGAGAGCCCTCCAAAACATCGTCCCCAGACCCCCCCGGCCCACCAAGATAGCCTGGAAGAGACCCCCCCCCGAAATGAGACCCCCCTCCCTTTATTACGAAATCTGGAGTATCGCTGCCCCTCACGCGTGTCATCGCTGCCCTCAGGCGTGTCACAGCGTGGCAACGAGTCTCGTTGCCTCCCTGTGCCTATCCCCCCCTGTCATGGGGGGGCATGGGCACAGGGGGGGATGCATCGACCTGGAGTCGGCGATACATCGCCGATAGATCGGCGTTGGGCTCCCGATCGTGAATCCGAACCTTCCCGGGCGGGGTGGTGCTATCGGGTCCCTATCGGCGATCAATGGATGTTTGGGGATCGATGCATCCCCCCCTATGCCGATTCCCTCCCTATCGTTGCCCCTGAACGCTAGACCTGGACACCCAACCTCCCTCGAAGCCAGTTTTTTCAGACGGCGGCGCGAACATCAGGTCGGGCATGTCCCCCTACAGGCGGATTTTGGAGGAACAGGTTTGTTAAAGGCAAAACATCTTCAACAAATGCCCCACAACAGCCGCAAAATCGTCCCCAGACTATTAATATTCCTTCTGTAGAGGGACACGCCCGACTTAACGCTAGACCAACCTCCCTCGAAACCAATGTGTCCAGACTGCGGAACGAAAATCAGGTCGGGCAGGTCCCCCTACAGGCGGCTTTGGAGGAAAAATAAGAAGCAGGCAACACATATTCAGAGATTATCAAGAATAGTCAGAAAATTGTTCCAGACTATTTTGTGACCATTTTCGAATATTCTTCCTGTCGAGGGACACGCCCGACTTAACGCTAGGCCCGGACACCCAACATCTCTCGAAATCAGTTGTTCCAGACGGCGGCACGAACTAAATACTGCAATGCAACATGTCAAGAATAAGCCCAGACGCAGGCCCTAAAAGCCTGCAAGACTCTCCTAAACCTGGACACAAACCCGAATCCTGCAAAGCAGCAAACAAAACATGCACGTGTGAAAAAATATGACTTTGCAAGAAAGGGTGTCGTTTCCTTGATTTTCCGTGTCCTGGTTTATCTGTGTCCTGGTCTCCAAGGGTCTGAGCGTCTCCCCTGGGCGCGCCGCCGGATTTGGTTTCGCCGTCTTTGGGCTTCTGGGCTTCTTCCAGCTCCCGAGTAGCGCATGCACAGGCGGCGAGCGATGAGGCACCACTGTGCTATATCCACCACCTTCTGGTCTATGCTGGCCAAGCGCTGGGTGGGCCACGGGCAGTATCCGACGAGACTACCGCACAGGAAGGACTGCAAACGAGGGGCGAGCATGTGCTTGCGATTCGCACTCCGCAGAAGCGCCGCTGTATGCACACCAAGGGAGATACGCTAGAAGCGGCAAGGCAGAGAACGAGACCATGACAGCGCCGACTAAACCCCGAATGCAGCATCACGAAGCCCGATGCATCGTCTACATGTCGTTCCGCTGCGGGCGGACGCTGCACAGCTGGACCCCAGCAACGAAGGGCAAAGAAGGCACGTCGGTCGGAAGAAGTGGGTAAACACATGGAGTAGGAGGGAGTATGATGTAGATTGGGCTCTGGCCCTCCCAGACGATAACACCACACGGCAGAGGCACGTCGAATCTTGCAGTATGAAGGCACTTGAAGTGGATTGGGATCTGAGAATCCACCAAAACCTACTTTCAGCGATCGGCGCGGAGGCGGAGGCGGAGGCGGAGGCGGAGGAGGAGGAGGAGGAGGAGGAGGAGGAGGAGGAGGAGGAGGAGGAGGAGGGAGGAGGAAGGAGGAAGTAGGAGGAGGAGGAGGTGTGCAAACAACGCCGATACAGGGTGTGGCGCGAAGCTCGTGAAGAGCGCCACGCGTCGGGCCACGGAGCGGCTGGCCTCCCTCGCCCGGACGATGCCCTCCCCGCGCGCCACCGTGGCCCCACGACGACGGCGGCCTGTGAGCATACCCTCAGGTCGGGCATGTCCTCCTACAGGAGGATTTGGGACGAAATATGAAAAATATGCACTCCGACTTAAGCATATCTTCCGCATGCGCTGGGGGTTCTTGTGGCCATTCTTCTTGGAGGGGGGCGGAAACAAGCGTCTGGTCTGGACCGCATGCGCCCTCCTGATCAAGACACGACTCGCGGGTCAAACTCAAGCCGAGGGAACACACATGCCACACTTTGGGGGCAGCCCTCGGGACAATCGGGACAGGAGCCCGACCCCAGCTTTGGTGGGGCCAAGGGAGGCTCTGCCCCCGGAGCGCGCCAGGACCATGACAGAAGGACAGAGAGCTGAGGAGTCAACCCTTACTGCCCGCACATCCCGGAGGGCGGGCGCACAGGAGCCAGGCTGGGATCGGCGTGCGGGCATTGCAGCAGACCGCTCTCAACAGTCGAGACGTCGCGCCTCTGGTCTCCATGGCATGCTGCACGGGTGCGTCCTCCCCCATCGGCGCACGACGGCGGTTCAACGGCTCGTCCTCGTCGAGTGCATCCTCCGCGCTGGAGTTGCCATTGAAGTCTACGTGATGGCAAATCCACTCGGGCACGCCGACGTCACGCATCGCTGCTTTCAGAAAGTCCTCGACCATGTCCACTATCATGTTGGAGACCGTCGAAATCCAGAGCCCGAGCCTCGCAGCGAGGCCGGTGAACGACAGGCAGGCTGCCTCGCAACAGTCAGGGATGACTCTCTTCAGTATGTCCACTGCTGCATCCACACCCTCCTGCAGAAGAACTTATTCACTGCATGAAAGAATAAACTCTCGGAGGTCCGCGCGGAGTTCTTGGATCGGCGATGGAGCTCGGGAGGCGCTGGAGGCGCAGCCAGAGGGTCCCAAGTGTCGATCCAAGAACTCCGCGCGGACCTCCGAAAGTTGATGTTTCTGCCGTTTATTATCGTTTGGTCCTTGCAAGCTCGGAGTATCCAACTGGCGACTTTGTAGAGGCATTTCAGAGCCGCACCGACCATGTCGGCACCTTCCTTGAGATGCTCGACGACATCCTGGCAGAAGTCGTGGATCTTGCCTCGGAAGCTCAGGATCGTATCGGTGCACGCCTCCTTCGCTGCACTGTCGAGGTCCCGCGGCACGGCGGCGTCGAGCGTCTGGAAGAAAGGGATGAAGTTGGACGCCTCCTCGATCACCAGGTCCCCAGCCTTGGGCGCTATGTCGTCCAGAGTGTTGTCTGACACCTCTACGAACTTTTCACTCAGCCCCATGGCATCGACAACTGCGTCCCTGACGTCATCGACTGCATCAACGACGGCCTCGACGACGTCCTCCGCCTTGTCCCGAGCGGCATCGATTCCATTCTTCAGGAGTGGGAGATACATTGGGGCTGTACGAATGGAAAATGCTGCGATGCGACAAGACTGAACCACAATTTTCCGGAACCACCGTTGAATCGGGAAGCCAGATCGAAACCCTGGGTGAAGGAGCGCGCAAACATTATCCTACAGTGTCTCTGAACTGCTGACTCGCCTCGTATCAGTCACCGTGCCGTATGCACTCCGTGAAGTGTACTCAGGTGCCTTCGAGTCCTCCGTGCTGAGAAGGGCACGCGGAGGGAGGGCTCTGGAAGGGAGGCGCGGGGCATGGGTGGGGCAGGAAGGAGAAATGGGGGACGAGCGTAGAGGGAGAAGATGGCGGGGGAATCGCTAGAACAGGGAGGACGGATGGGGGGAGGAGGGGTATCAGTGAGGTGGAGGCACGCGTGAGGAAGGGAGATGGGGAGAAGGCTAGGGGGGAGGGGGCAGGGGGGGACAAGGACGGGGAGCGTACGGGATGGGAGCTGAGGGGGGGATGGGAGCTGAGGGGGGGATGGGCCTGAGATGGAATGTGGATCGGGGGGGGGGCGCACGAATCCATCCCCTCGCGAGGACGAGGGAGGAATGGGAGAACGAACAATTGAGAGCATTGCTCTCCCTTGTTCGTTCTCCCATTGCTCTCCCTTGTTCGGTAATCTGCACCACTGGGGCCCTGGTTCTGCGGCCGCACGCATTTGCAGCCCCCCAGGGCAGTCCAAGAGAGCAACAGGAAGAGGTGAAGCGAATCGCAGAAGATGGGAAGATGATGATGCAATTGGTTCCTGCCGGCCCCAGGTCGCAAAGCACCTCTGGCAGTCTGGAGGGGCACAGCTCGCAGCCCACACGTGGAAAATGAATCGTCCTACGGGGATCCTAGACAGGCTGAGCTGTATCGCCCAGGATCTGGCAAAACAAGAAACGGCAGCACGGTGCACCTTTGGAGGCGCCGCATCGTGCGGCCCCCGCCTTGGCGGGCCGCAGCCAGGGCAGCACCAGACAGGCCAGGCCCCGGCAGCGCAGCCGCAGTCGGCTGAAGAGTAAGCTAGGGTGAATGCCCCCTCCTCCCCTGAGCGTAGGGGGCCCCATGCGAACCCTACCCCTACCCCCCACGATTTCTGAGGGGGAGGGTGGGGTTCACTTCGCTCGGGAGCTCCCGAATGAAGTGAACCCCGTCCTCCCACTCAGAAATCGTGGGGGGTAGGGGTAGGCTTCGCATGTGGCCCCCTATGAGCGGCAACGATAGGGGGGGGGACTGCCACAGGGGGGGATGCATGGACCCGGAATCGGCGATGCATCGCCGATAGATCGGCGACAGGCCCCCTTGTAGTGAGTCCGCACCTTCCCAGGCGGGTTGGGGCCATGGGGCCCCTATCGGCAATCAATGGGCGATTGGGGGTCAATGCATCCCCCCCTATGCCTGTCCCCCCCTGTCGGTGCCCCTGATCCTCCCCATCCTCGCAACACCGCGCACCACAGCCACCTCTCCGCGTCGCGCGACCGGCGCCACAAGCTCTACCTCTCGATCTTCGAGTTGTTGCAACAGACGGAGGCGTCCAGCGTGGTCTTCTCGGTGCCATCGGCGGCCCGGACGAAACCCTTCTCCAGCACGCCGTCGAGCACGGCGGTGTCCTGCACCACAATCTTGGACTGGCTGAGGGAACCGATGTCTTTT